TGTATATACATAATACAGGTAATAGCAGGTACTACCTGTTGTGTGTGTGTGTGTGTATGTGTGTCTTTGTGCTGAGCATTGTGCTCTCTCTCTCTCTCTCTCTCTCTCTCTCTCTCTCTCTCTCTCTCTCTCTCTCTCTCTATCTATCTTACTTGTGGAGGGCTAGGCATATATATATGATACCTGTGCCGCCGCCAGTATATGTAGTAATCATAAGGTGAGAGAGAGAAAAGAGAGAGAGAGAGAGAGAGCTTGTGATGGTTGTGTTGTTTAAGATGAGACATAAGAGATGTTTGTCTAGTAATAGGTAGTAATGGTGTCCAGAGTTGACACGACTTAAGTAATAATAATAATAATAATAATAAAAAAGTTTATTTTTTTAACAAAAATAATTTCTCTAATCATCACTTGGACTCCTTTGTTGTTGTTTGGACTGTCCATTCAATTATTAATTTGCTATCCATCACAATAGCACTGTTATTGGACCACCACTACCACCACCACCAACACTGTTATGGCCTTTCTATGTCCAGTCAGAATTAGGAGAAGCAAAAAGAAAAAAGGTATGTCTCTCCCCCCTCCCGACTAAATATATTAATATATCAATTGATTTATTAAGGGTGTATAACTTTAATATACAAATTTATTTCTAATATTTCTATTACAAACTACAGAATTATTTATAATTATTACTTTTCAACTTTTAAAAAAATAAAAAATTATTAATATCTTATACTGTATATGATATACACTTTCATATAGTTTCATAGAGTTTAATGAAATATAAATACATTTAATTATTATTATTATTATTATATAAATCTAATATTTTAGGTAAAATAATATACTTTACTATACTTGTTATTAATACAGTATTATTTATGTAGTAAATTATAATATTTAAACAAAAATAATAGTTGTATTAGGTTTATACTGCAGTATCACTTTATATATATATATATTTAAAAATATAATTATTATTTATCACACTAACAAATACTACGGTAATTATAATAATAATAATAATAATTTAATTACAACAACAAAATATATAGAAAACGATAAGATACCGATACCGCCGAGCATTGGCCGGATAACGGGCAGTGCGTCCATCGAAACACTGGTACGGGTGGGCATCGAGAAAGAGCACGGCCTGTCGCCCGACTCCAAAATGGTAGTACTCCACGATTTTCAGGCCTGTGTCGATGATGAACTGGATGTACGTCGGGGACAGTTAGTCAATGTACTCTACCAGGAAAACGACTGGGTCTATGTAATCGCAGCCGAAACCAATACCGAAGGTTTTATACCACATTCGTACTGTGCGCCAGTTGACAGCCATTTGGCCGGTATGGCTGTCAAACATAAGAAAATACCCAGAAGTTTGGCCGGCGATTACGAATACGGCGATCAGCTGTCATCGACGGCCAAAAGTACGGCCAATCAGTCGGAGTTCGAGTCATATCACGGTCAGCTACTGGCCAATACCGGTTCGGTTATCGGCAGCGGCAGCGGAACCATTGGCGGTGGTGGTGGTGTTGCCGGTGGTGTCATCGAAGTGCATCCGTTTTTCAAGGATCCGGCCGGTCGTTACATAGTTTTATATACGTTTATAGCCCGGGATGAAAACGATGTCAGTGTGGAAAGGGGCGAATTTGTAACAGTGCTCAACAAGGATGACCCGGACTGGTATTGGATTGTCAGGTGCGACGGACAGGAAGGTTTCATACCGTCGGGTTTTGTTTGTTCAGCCGATATGATACACAATTTGGGTATAAATTTTTATTTAATATACTGTATATATATATTTAGTATAACTAATCGCACAATTGACAGGTCATACTAATGCCGAATCAAACTCCACGTCCACCTCAGCCACCAATGGCACCAACAATAATATTGTTAATAATGGTGTCGTCGTCACCAATGGCTTGATGAATGGCGGCGGTGGTGGTGTTGGTGGCGGCGGCAATGGATCTACAACGGCCAGTGCTACCGGTGCCGGCACCGAACCGACAACTGTTGGCGGCGTCGGTGGCGGCGGCGCCAACAACACTGAAATGCGGTTTCACGGCACCGAACTGGTCATGTTATACGACTATAAGGCACAGGCCAGCGACGATCTGTCCGTAAGGCGCGGCGATTGGGTATACGCCGACCTGAATGCCCAGAATGTGGACGGTTGGCTGTGGGCGTACGCACCGAAACTTCGTAAATACGGTTTCATACCGAAAGCCTATGCCCGGCCACCAGCCATGACATCGCTATAGAAGTAATAAAAAACATGGATTATATGTATTATAATWATAATAATTATAAGTTATTTTTTTATTTAAAAAAAATTGACATTTTTTTAGTCTTTATATAAATTAAAATATATATAAATAAAAAAATTGACATTTTTTTAGTCTTTATATAAATTAAAATATATATAAATAAATTATATACTCTGTATAAAAATATTTAATTGACTTATTTTTTWATTTGTTGTTAAATTTGTTATTYAGCCATAAAAATGTCATTAAAAGTTTTTTTTAGAAATTTAATTGCMATTTRATAAATTAATTATATAAAAAATATATATTGTATTTATATTTAATTAATTTTAATTATGTAAATATATTGTTTTTATAAATATATAAAACTCATATWAATWATWATTATTATTTAAGWTATACTGTAAATATATATATATCTCTATATTTAATAATTTACTTTATAATGTGTGTTAGTGTGCATTAATTGTATTGCTAAAAAAGCAATTATTTAAATTTAATTAAATTTTTTTAATAACATTTATTGTATTTTTGTTGTTGTAATAAATTTATTTAAATTATACTATCAGTAATTAATTAACAATTAGAATATATTTGTTTAGAAAAATTTTTATTTTATTATTAATTTATTTATATAACATTAATAACTGAATATTTATTTTTWAATTATTTAGTTTTAAAAAAATAATATTCTATTAAAAAAAATTTTKTTTCTTATTTAAATAAAAAAATATTATTACTAATAATATTGACATAATAATAATACTGTACTAACTTGTACTSTAAGTAAACAWTTATAATAAATATATATTGAATATATTATTTTCATTTAACAAATGAGATGAATAAACATAATATTTGAATAATATTATTACAAATAGAAATAATTATATATATATATATATTTTGGTTATAATTATAAATCAATATATTAGATATTATATGAACGAAAATTYTTACATAAATAGCATATATATATATATATATATATATATATATATATATATCAGTATATATATATTAATATGTATTATAAATGTATTGAGAATTTCATATTGAAAAAAATAAATATATTATACACAATTTGRGCTTAAAATTTAAAATATTTATTTTTATTGGTTGTCTATTTTGAAASTATACTTAAAATTARTAGTCAATTAGYAATTAGCCGTAAATATGTGAGTGAGTGGGTGTGTGTGTTTWAAAAAAACATATTAAACCATAAAAGTATTTACACATTTTAATTAGCATATGATTTTAAAAATTTAAAATARATTGTTAATTATATAWTAATTATATTATATATTGATAATATATATATACAGAAACATTATATAAAAGTATATATATTACARAATATWTAATTAGTTATAATTCATAATWATATTGATATTTAATATAATAAGTTAGTAATAAAAAACAATATACTTTATAAACTAAAAAAATATATCAAATTATTTATACACTTAGATATAYGTATTTATTATAATATACATTGTTTAATATATTGTATTTAAATATTGATAATTAKAAAATTATTATATTTTTAAATAATCGATAATTTACTATTGATATAATTRTATGGATAGAAATTATTTAAAATAAGCATCCAAAATTGTACTAGATGATTCTGTATATAATATATATACAGTTATTAGTGATTTTTAATTAATTAAAWWWTTAAAGAATATTATCATGGTAGAATCTASATAAATTATTTTTTTAATTCCCATTTTTATATAACAYTAATATTTTTACATAATAGTGATAATATAAAAAAAACATAATTATTAGTATGTATACTGAAATTTATTACTAAATTAAATAACTTATATAATATATACATATATAATATATATAATATATATAATATATAATGTATCACACACTTATCACAACCAGTGGTAACATCTATGGACAGCCCAACATACCAGTGCTCAYTGACTTTACTACTCACACACACACACACAGTACTCACCCATACATACATAAGCCATGTATATGTAGTGTATATAACAGAGTCATTGGCCTCAATGCAAATTTGGCGGCACTTGATGTGTGTGTGTGTGTGTGTATGTGTTTATACTGTATGTGTGAGCACTTGTTTTATACATAATATACAGTTTATATGTTGTATGTATTTTTGACAATAAATTTTTTTACACACAWACAGTGTGTATATAAACAATAATAATAATTATTATTAAATCGTTATTAACTTAAATTATTTAATAGTAGTAAACTTTTTTTTTTTAATATATATWGTGTGATATATATAATATAAAAATTTAATTTTTAAAATTAATTAAAAACAATTTTTTTAACATGCATGTGTGTGTGAAATAATTTATAATGTGTTTTAATTTATAATTCAATGAAACATTTTATTATTATTAATAATTATTATTAATTATTATTATATTAATAATATACTTAATATATATACTTAACTATTTCAACAACAAAAAATGTTTATATAATATTGAAATATATTATTATWAWTTGTTTGTATTTAGTGATTATAATTATATATATATATATATTATCATCTAATATATTGAATAACATTGTCTATCGATTACAACCATAATTAATAATTAATAATTACATAAAATATTTTTAATAAATATATATATATATATAATTGTTTATGATGTCCACAACAAAAATATGATAGGTAAGTTACGATATTTATTTTTAAATTTAAATTATTATTTTATAATA